AAAAGTCCTATTTTTTTCTGAAATATCGTGGCTCTAATATCATATAATTTCATTAGGCATGAAATCTTGTGGCTCTCATGTAATGTATTTTTGTTTGATTGAAAAAGTCGTGGTTTGCACTCAGCAAACATGTCGTTTCATAAAATTTTTAACTTCCTCAATCTGCAATACTTTGACAATCCTGCCAAAATATCCTGCACAACATAATAACATGTCAATCTTGAATGTTTCCATAAATTTTACGTAGTTGCAGTCATGTCAGCGCGGTCAGAGACAGACTGCATAATCATGTATCGGTGATCAATCACCACTTGAGTGAAGACAAATGTTAGTGTTGACTGTTTTTAGGGTAAAATTGAAGATTAGGGAATAGGGGTAACACATGCACGGGACTTTGTAAAAAGTTTGTGGCTGCCAGCTCGTAAATGGCTTTCAATGGCCAAGGTATGGAATTCACGGCTTAAAGAAATAGAATCATGGCTGGCAAATCCATAAAACTACGGCTCGAAAAATTCAGTCCTGGCTTGCCAAGTAGATATATTCCATGCCTGGCAGGCTGGAATTCTAAAATTCGTGGTTCACATAAAAAAAGCGTTCCATCTTAAAAAAAACGTTCCAGGCAACTAGAAACAGGTTTGCAGGCCGTCAGAAATCGGCTTTGGTTACGGTAGCTATGATTGTATGAACGTCAAGTCAGGCAACACAGAGAAGGTCCCATGCAAGATTGTTAATTGCACAGATGAGCAAGAGGGAACCCCTCCCCCCACAGATGAGCAACAGATGAACCCCTTTCTTTTAAATCTCCCCAAAGAAAGAAATCGCAAATGCTCAAATCAGGTGACCTCGCAGGCCACTGTAAATCACCCCTCAGAGACACCAGACGTCTGGGAAACATGCATTGTAGCGGTTCCCGGTAAGCCCGCACAAATATGCGAGACTGAATCTGTTGAGACCTTGGTCATGGAACAAATACTGAATGTGGTCAGAAGGAGTCACATTCAGGAAGGCATGAAACATGGAAAACACTAAACAATTTACTACTAACAAAACACAAAATACAAAATGGCAGATACAACAATAACTCAATGATACCTAGTCTAATTGAAACACTAGCAGTAGTGTCAGTTCAGCCCACTTGGTGGTCTGGGTAGAGTGCTCTAATGAGTGGCACACTGTGGCCTCTCAGTGTTTAGTTTCAGGCAACTACACGATAATAGAAAAGTGACAAATGGAAAAATAGTTATTAACAGCTTCTGCTGCCATATAATAACATCATACTCCAACATTAGCCAAGGCCAACTAAGTATGGTTTTAACAACCATAAATCAAGTAGTAATCATCACTAGTAGTAGTAGGAATCAAATAGGAATCATAAATCAAGTAGTAACCATCACAGGCTTTAGGTGCAAGCCAAGGAGTGATAGTTGGCAAGGCAGAACTTGACCACTGGTGCAGGGATGGAGATCAATGCTGAGTGGCTTGTGGACCAAGTCACACATACTCACATGCCACACCCAGGCATGCCACACTCACTTCACACTGCACTCAGCACCAACACTCTTACCTTATGGCAGGAAGTATGCCCAAAGGGTTGTAGCCATCTTACCATTTGCTGGTATTTCCTCTTAAAATTACCGCTAATCGCTTGGTGGCAAAAGATTTTTAAGTCAGTGCGAGGCTGTTACCATACTTACATAGTGCGACATACCTTTAAACTCGTAGAGCGTATATTTTTATTGCCATTTATTTTACAGCTTTTTCTTCTTTGTTTCGATAGAATAACGGCGAATCTGGTGGGACACATTGTTCAATCTTATTGGGACTCGCCTAGTTTACAATTCAAAAGTCCTTCTTGTTCTTCACGTGCAAATTTCTTGCTTCAATGCGTGAATTTATTGACTTATTGCAACATAGGAACAATGTTACTGCTTTGCCGAAATGTTAATTTAAACGTTTTATCTTGACTCTACGTGTATGTTGGGCCGAGTTCATTCGTCAGTATAGCTTTGAAGATTCTGCATTGAACCCGCTACCAAGCTTTATTTTTTGAGAACTAGATATCTTTCTCAATTTTCGGTGAATCGTCAGCTTTTTCAAGCCTTTGGACGTTTCTTCGGATCAAGTTCTAAAATATAAATTCTATTCTTCTTTTGTTTTTGTATTAAGCCTATTAATAAATCAAAAATAGCAATGATAACTAAAATTTGTAATAACATATGGTCTGGTGATGAGTTGAACTCCGGACTTCAATTCATGTATAGTTCATCATACTAGATAAAAAATTAAATGTTATTTGCAATTAGTAATAGAAAATTATATTTAAAAGACGTAAAATAGGTTCTTCCATGTTTTGAAACGAGAGTAAAATGCGAGTTCTCTCTTGTATAAAAAATTAATTATGTGCATATGACATTGTTGTGGATGAAAAAAAAAAATCCAAATGAATGTGGATGAAATCAAGCCCAGTCAATGGCGGGCTATAACCTCACCATCGGCAATTCATCAGCTATGGAAAGATCGGGTTCCAAAGGCCGGATCCCTTGTGAATCAAGTCACGAAAAGTACAAGAATCGGCAACAGGCCATGGGCCTTTTTCTTCAGCGCCGACACTTCTATTCTATATACCAGCGCACTACTGCCTCAATTCTGATTTGATCTGCATGAAATTTTAAATATGTTTTATTGGCAGTAATGCACCACTGCAAAATTTGTTTTATTTTCGATTATAACGAAACTTTCGAGAGATTAGACTAGGTTAAGATAAGTTCGGTCAGGATTGGTTAGGACAGGCTAATAGTTATTACATCTTAAAAATTAAGTTAAGCTTGAACTAGCCTACATCAATCTAACCTAATCTTTTGACAGTTTAGTTATAATAAAGAACTTAGCCACCAGCAGGAGCCGACGAACAGATCCAACCTAGCCATTAAGAAAGATTTCATTTCACTTTCAAAAAGTCCCGTATTTTTTAGGATTTAAATAATAGTTCTCTTTATAAACTTCAATATAATGTAACCCAGAGTTGCTGCCCAGCGTCAGCCACTCCCCTGAATAATATTCAGCTCGGGGGCAGCGGGGGGAGCTCGTCCTGACAGCGCCGTTGTTGTCCCGGCCATCGTCCCGCGTGAAGCAATTTGGTGCGCGATGAAAAGATTATTAATAAGCAAGTTATTGAGATGCTGGGACAATTTGTCCAGCTAGTCATATCACCGCTCCAAGGAGAAAGAAATAAGCCCACCATTACTTGTTGATGGTTGCGTGAGTTGCCAATAACCTCCCCTCGACGTCCAGAATGTGGCCCACTAATAATTATAACAATTGCACACTATATGGAATTCATATTATTAACATAACATTTACTATGATGAATTCAGGGCCGTGATTTGTCATATTTTAGAGTGGGTCCAAATTTCAGGTGTTTGGCATAAGGACACAATCAAGCTAGTATTGATCGTTCAGTATTGAAACTAAATCTATTCGAGTGCTTAACTCAGCGTATTCCCACATCTTGAGGCGCGTATGCCAACAAATAATTAAAATGCGCGTCAGAACAGCGCAGTTTGCCTCCTCGCGCTATTCTCTTTCAGTCTTTGCCTTTCAGTCATCATGACATGTAATGCCTCATAAATGATTAATTCTATAAAATTTTAAATGAGTAACTGAAATTACCCATTATTAAAGCTAACCGATCTGTAACTACTGAACACTAGAATTCTAGTTATAGTGATAGCAGCCTCAACTGAGTTATATTTTATAACGTCGGAGCTAGCGTCGACATCAGCATCGCTTAATTAAGCTGGTCCAAAACTTCCTTTTATCAAGCATCGTCAGTGTACGGGGAAACAAGAGGAATTTATGAGCCTGTAGAACATTATTCTGTACAAGGTCCGATGAAATCCTTTATTCGCACTACCGTCCCTGTGCGGGCCGCGTTGTCAAGTATGAAACTATTTCCCATTCACTTTGGTTAGTAAGTTCAATTGTCCTCACCCGACGCTCAGTTAAAAACGTCATCAATTCATCAAATTACCTGCACCAATCAGCTTGTCGTTATTGATGCTTCTACAAGATATACCCACCGGACCTTTTACACTGGTTAAAATTATTTGGGGGTCAATATTTTACCTCCTGCCTCGCAGTGCCACTGCCATCATAGATAAATTTGACCTGGCATAGAAGAGGGAACTGCACGTCTTTGAAACTTCCTAAATAACTTGTGGCCTACTTGCGATCTTACGACAAAGAGCACGACGTTCACTCCACCGAGATTTTTTAGTTTATTTGTTGGCTTCAGGTCTGCAGAGCACACCTCCCACTTCACTTGTTGGCTTCACTTTTGGATCAATTCACTTATACTATACTTATAGTATAAGTTCACTTATATATACTATTCACTTAAATATACCATATACTTTTAGCACCTCCACCAATCGGTGCTGCAGTAAATTGTAAAAAGAAATGTTGTATCAATTCCCCCGCGTTGTCTAGTCGCATCTCCGCCTTGCGTTTTGGTAGACACGGCCATCAGCGATGAGGAACTGACTGTGACGCTAAACATGGACCCTGCAACACATATTCAAACTCTGACAACACGAATGTTGCGACATTTTACATGTACGTCACTGCAAGATGGAACATGTTGACGAATTTTTTTCTTGTTTGGCGCTTAAATTGCTTGAAAAAGTGTGAGAATCCAACAAAATAATACTTTGCCATACTTCGTCCTCGCGAACGCGTTCTTTGTCACTGACTTGATGCTACTTATATCATTAGTTTATATCAAAGATTGTATGCTATAAGTTAATCAAGAATTTACACTTCATTGACGACATGATAAACATACAAGGCCTTTTCTTTGCTTATAAATCCCAGGCATTCTTGGCCAGTTGAACATCATCTCCTCTAGGAAACCTTGCTCAACATTTGCTAGGACATCTGGACTTGGTAGTGCAAATAACATTGTAATTGCCACAACCAGACAGTGAACTCAAAGNACTTGCCGCTGCCACCAGCAGCTGCTGCAGCTCCCCCAGCAGTGGACGACTTGCCGCTGCCACCAGCAGCTGCTGCAGCTCCCCCAGCAGTGGACGACTTGCCACTGCCACCAGCAGCTGCTGCAGCTCCCCCAGCAGTGGACGACTTGCCTCTGCTGCTCTGTAGGTGCAGCGACAGGTTAGTTTCATGAAGAATAATGCCTGCAGCTTCTTAATCATTTCAGGACAGGTTAATGCATACAAGTTAGATTTAGTGGGCTTAAAAGTCAGATAAATAATCAGAACATTTAAAAGCTCTTCTTATTTCTGTTCCGTAAATTAATTTTAATAACTGATTCAAGATAAATTTTCATGGATAATTAATCAAAGATAGAATTTTTGCACACATGTTTGAAAGAAATTACATTCTGAAACTTTGGACAATTTATGATAAGTAAATGCAGGTGTAGCGATGATTGTGTACCTCTGCAGTCCTTGGTTCCTCCTTGACATATACTTCCTCTATAAGGCAGTCCATCTTCTCGACGGCAACACTGGCGACTGAAGACGGAGCACCAAATTCCAATGCTGTGCAAGACATACATATATTGATTGGTTATTTATTAGATAGAATTTACACAAAATGTAGAGCAGGTTTTCAGCTCTACGTATTTAGGGATTCAACTTGAATCAGGAAAGGCAGAAAAATAAAATTTATAGAAGCAAAGCTCTGGTAGATCATGACACACTACAAACTATTTGAGAAAATAACTACTTATTAGCAATCAAGTTTTGAAACTCAAAACATTTATATATAAAAATTTAATTTGGTTCTTTCCCTACTTCAATAAAGTGACAACCACTTAAAGCTTTCATTGACTGCCACAGAGTAATAATGATATATTTTCCAGAAATCAATTATTACACATTAACTTCTTACGCTCTTGAAATTTAATATATGTTTCACACTTGCATATATTTAATATATGTTTCACACTTGAAGCCCACATGAACTTGTGGGCTTCAAACATCTTTTATCAATAAATTAGCAAGAAAAAATCAGAATTCAGTATTGATTAACCTAATAAAAGGAGGTCAACCACATCAAAGATTTTATGATCTCTCAGTTCAAGCTGGGAGTGCAGGCTAGACTCACCTTCAGACTTCACTTCACCAGCAGACACTCGAGCCTTGAGTGTCTGCTGTCTTGTCTCCAGCTCTCTTCTTTCTCTTCAACAATAAGCTCGTTCTGGTTTTTAAGGAATTTAATCTCATCCTTTTGTTCTTGGATCTTGCTTTTCAAAGAAAGCACTTCTAGCTGAAATTGTTGTCGTTTAATTTTTTCTGTATTAATAACTTTTTGTTGGAATTTAACAGTTTTATCCATCCTGATATTAGCCTCTTGCAGCAGCTTGACCTGTTTCTTTACCCTGATATTAGCCTCATTTTGCCGCTTGACCCTTTTCTCAGGATTTTTCACCATTATTGGCATTCTGTGTTGTGTTGACCTTATCATTTTCATGCGCTCATGGTAGATAGATTTCAGTTTGGCAATTTTAAGAGATAAATCCTGGCAATGATTTCTCAAAAGCCGCTTCCTAGTTGTGTCTTCGCATTTACAGAGTCGCCTTCCAATGCTATAAGTTCCCGGTGCTGGCCTTGGAGAGATGGTTGAGAGCTGAATGTTAGAGCCAGATGTCGGCATGAGAAGCTGGACAAATGCAGAAGGCTTGGTAGCTATTTGTGCTGCAATTTCTTCTGATGTGGGCTCAGTAGGAGTGAACACAAATGGTTGAGCAGAAGCATCAGAAGTTGGTGGCAAGGACGCATGAGAGGATGTTGATGGCTCTAATTGCACAGTACTTATCTCCATCTCAGGGTGTGAACTGCCGAGAGGCTCTTCACAAAAGACTCGTAGTTTTGCCAAAGTATCTTCTTTTAGATTTTCATTGGTATTTTTGCTGAACTTGATATACTTTTTCATGAGACTTTTTATGTAGTTCATGGACACTATCACGCCAAAGACCTTATCAATCCAAGCACATGTTGCTGTGTAGGACTTATTATGTTCTAAGCAGAACCTGATTGCATGACCTATTAGTGGTACATCTTGTACAAGGTCTGACTCTGTGGGCTGGTCATATTGGTTAAGCACTGCCCATGTTGCTCCAGTGCCAAGTCTGGTGGTTATTGACTTTCTTTTCTTGGGTGGCATGACAGGGTTCTTTCCTGTGCAAAATGAAACTGAAAACAATATGACAAAGTCAGGGTAAAGTAGAGAATGATTCAAGAGCACACTTTAGAAAATGAATAATATCGGTAGCATGTGAAGTAGCATTATAGGTAAAATATAAACATAGCAGCATATAAATTAAATAAAAATGATGTTAGTAAATTTTGTAAATGGACATCTATTTACAAGCATTGAAATACGTAATAATTCAAAAAATTTAATAGTTAATCAAAAATCAAAATAAATGATAATAGAACTAAAGAATGTTCAAAATCACTATACTAGTAGCTAAGAAAAAATTGTTTTGAAGCAGAACATGGCATTGAATGGCAATAATAATTATTAATCCTCTTTGAAAACATAAAATTTTAAATGCTAAAACTTACTGAAGAATTGATGACACTTTGCAAAGATCTCTGTCAAATTTTCAATGTTGACAAACTTCATAAGCCAACGAATGAAGAATGACAGTTATGTTACAAAATCTTTTCAAGTTTCTGCAAGAAAAAAACATATTCAGTTAATAAACAAAGCATTTTCAGCATTGACAGACCTTTAACACTGGGGTGGCCCAGTGGTTAAAGTTCATAATACCAAGATTGGAGCAGAGAGGTGAGGGTTCGATCCCAGCTCTGTGCACCAGTTTCTCATCAGAATTGACAAGGAAGTCAGGCAGTTAAGCACAGCAGAATAGGAGAAGTGAGTTGTCTATTCAAGAGTCAAGACCACAGTGCAAAATTAGATTATTTAATTTTGCTATTTTTAGGTAGCTATTTGATGGTAAGATGGTTTTCCTAGTATGGAGAGTGCCTTCTTATTTTACAGAAATAAATTGTGAAAAAACCATAGAAACAGGTGAAATTGGTCAGATTAACATTCATGGGCATTTCAGACCAATTCACGGGTGGCTTGTGCCAATTTTCCCTTCAGGCTCCTGTGATTTTTAAAGCCTATGCTATCACACCCGCAATTTTTGTGGAAAATCTGCACAATATTCCAAACTGGTATCATAACATCTTTTCATATTTCTGCCTTAACACCACAATAGCCTAATTAAATCATATCCCTCATTTTCTGTCAGCTGCCTTGTCTAAATCAATAACTTCAAAGTTATTGTAGTTAAGTTATAATTTATAATTCAAATTTTATCCAAGATATATTCATATTGCATCTCAATTTTCACTTTACTGCAACTCTGCTCTAGATTATACTATAATTCAGTAGATCTCTATGTTTAACCCTTGAAATTCCACCCAGCACTTGCCCTAGGATAGAGCTAGCATCAGGCTCAGGCGCTCAGCTAGGGCTACTCAAACTTTAGTACTAGCAGTGGAGCTACCAAGTACTGACTTAGCAATAATATTTGGCTCGTAATAATATTGAAACCTTAAATTTTAATTACACCCAAAGCTAGCCCTAGACTAACTATTAACTAGGACTGACTAGTGACTTGCATAAGGCTGCCCTGCACTAGGACTAGCCTAGAAGGCTAGTACTCACCACACAATGACACTGGGACTGACGTACGGGCGCTGGGAGCGCAGCCGTGGGTAACAAAATTGACTCGTAAACAGGCCCTGGGCCCAACGCCAACCATCAGCATGCAATATCTACAAATAGACTCAGATCAATGAGCTGTGGGTAACTCCGGCACCGGCTAACAGTAAATCTGCTTTGCACAACACAGCCACTGCTTCACAGCACCGGAGCACAACTGGCCGGAGCGCAACAGGCGGCGCAGGTTAGGTTATGACCGTTACGTTAGGAGTAGCTGTTGCAGTTGCGGTAGGGCCTGTTGCGCTCCAGCGCCGTGAACCAGTGCCTGTGACTGAACGGCGCTGTTGTGGTGGGCGCTATGTGTCGGAAGCCGTGAAGACGCCCGGCTGCGTTACGCTCGGGACGACATGGTGAGGGGTAACGTCGGGACGACGTTGCCTCTCATTGACGACATGGTGAACATACAAGGCCTTTTCTTTCCTTATAAATCCTAGGCATTCTTTGCGAGTTGAACATCATCTCCTCTAGGAAACCTTGCTCAACATTTGCTAGGACATCTGGACTTGGTAGTGCAAATAACATTTTAATTGCCACAACCAGACAGTGAACTCAAAGAAATATAATGGAAGTTAACGGTTACATCACAAAAGTTTTTCAATTTGATGGTCTGCAAACAAGATGAGGTACATTAGGCACTAGGTTATGTAGGTGTTCATGTTGCTCTCCTCATTGCAATGTTGCACGCGCGTGTAGTCGTGTACGCATCAACACATGTTGACCAACATACCAAAATGTACCTATTGTCTTCAACTTATGTTTGAAAAATGTTTTAATTGTGATAAGAATAGCATGCGTAATGTGGTATATCCCTCCTCCTCCCTGAAGGAATTTTCTTCTTCAATGAAGATATTCGAGACAAGAGGCAAGCATTCAAATTATTATTTGGAATGAAACAAGAACGTCGCGAAATTTTTAAATGAAAATAAGACGGTTTTTACATCCAATGCAATGGGGTTCTTTGCTTGACTGAGAACCAAACGCGATTATTTGCTTACATTAAACGTAGCCTAAAGTAACACGCATGCAGTGATGCCCCGCTGGTAAATGCAAGGCGTGGGCCGCTGCAGTGGAGGAGCGTCCATGGAATAGACAACGGGACCGCGACGCCGGCGACGCAGACACTTGGCAGGCGACGCAGACACTTGGCAGGCGACGCAGACACTTGGCAGGCGACGCAGACACTTG